CTCTTGTTACCCAGGCTGGAGTGCAATGGCGCGATCTCGGCTCACCGCAACCTCCGCCTCCTGGGTTCAGGCAATTCTCCTGCCTCAGCCTCCTGAGTAGCTGGGATTACAGGCACGCACCACCATGCCCAGCTAATTTTTTGTATTTTTAGTAGAGACGGGGTTTCACCGTGTTGACCAGGATGGTCTCGATCTCTTGACCTTGTGATCCACCCGCCTCGGCCTCCCAAAGTGCTGGGATTACAGGCTTGAGCCACCGCGCCCGGCGAATGGAGACATTTTAAATATTGAAGAGAAGTTTGAAATAGTAAAGGATCCTGAAAGAAAAATGAGAACATGTGACTATTTCCTGAGCAAGGGATATCAAGGGGTCCACATCAGTGATAATGCTACAAAAAAAAAAAAAAAAAAAAGAGAGAAATGTCCATGGCTGGAAAAAATTCAAGAAGTACTCTGAAGTCAACACTAACCAGGCCTAAAGGAATAAAAGCGATGGAGAGATTCTTTAGCATATGACAGAGTGCCAAAAAAAAAAAAAAAAAATGCATATAAATGTGGAACCTTTCTCACAAAGAGAAAGCACATAAATATGCAGCTTTATTTGATCTCTGCTCAGTGACTGAAAAAAATATATAAAAATAAGCACCTAATTAGCCGGGTATGGTGGTGGATGCCTGTAATCCCAGCTACTTAGGAGGCTGAGGCAGGAGAACCATTTGAACTCAGGAAGTGGAGGTTGCGTGAGCCGAGATCACGCTACTGCACTCCGGCCTGGGCAACAAGAGCGAGACTTTGTCTCAAAAAAAAAAAAAAAAAAAAAGCACTTATAATAAAAATAAGGCCTATATATAAATAAGGCCTTAAACACCACAAGTGGCTCCTTTTAGTGCTAGAAGTGGTTAGTTTAGTGGTTTCGAACATGGCTACAATTTTCAAAACTTTCTGCTATTGGGAGAAGGCACACATACAGATGAAAATGCCACTAAGGAATTTCTGGCAGTGATACGGAAGTTAATTGGAGGAGATGGCTATACATTGAATCAAATATTCAATTCTGATTAAATAGCACCTATTATAAATGCATGCCTCAAAGGAAATACATTCAAAGGAAGAAAAATGTGCCCCAGGATTTAAGACTGCAAAAGATAAAAAAAAATTTTACATGGGCCGGGCACAGGGGCTCATGCCTGTAATCCCAGCACTTCAGGGGGCTGAGGTGAGTGGATCACAAGGTTAAGAGATCGAGACCATTCTGGCCAACATGATGAAACCCTGCCTCTACTAAAAAATACAAAAATTAGCTGGGTGTGGTGGCAGGCGCCTGTAGTCCCAGCTACTCGGGAGGCTGAGGCGGAGAACTGCTTGAACCCAGGAGGCAGTGGTTGCAATGAGCTGAGATTGTGCCACTGCACTTCAGCCTTGTGACAGAGGGAGACTCCATCTCATAAAAAAAAAATTTTTTTTTTACATAATCTTCCTTTCACAACTTCACAATAACATAAGATGCAATTCTTCCAACACTCACTTCCACAACCAAACTTGAGGTCTTTTTGAGGTAAAGTGCTGTATTTATTGTATTATTATTTACAATAATAAACAGTGCTACTGTTTTATTGGGTTTCCATTATTTTTTAATGTGTCACTGACAAAATTTTAAGTGTTGTCTCCTTAACCCCACTATTCCCCAAAGTTATGTGTTTTTTATTCTATCCTTTTGCATAGTACAGTGATTTTTAGGAATGCATGCCACGTTAGAATCAAACTCATTGTAACTTTACCTTGTAAAAGACTTGGTTTCCTACTCTCTAAAGCTACCTAAAAGCAGAAGACAAACTCTCCTTTGGATCCTTTTGGATTCAGGGGTAAGAAGTATGACTTGCCTGGGGTGGATGTCACTCAAGCCTTTGCAGGAATCCACCGTGATGATGGTATAGGAATACAAGACATCTCCTCCCTCTGGGGGCTCCCAGCAGTCAAAGATCCCAGCCATTGTCAGCAGCCTCCAGTTGTCCCAGACTTTCTCCCAGTTCTCAGGACTATCTGCAACACCAATGCTACCTGACTGGAAGCAAAATACATGGGCAGATTAGATGCATTCAGCAGCCTTCTTCTACATGCAGGTTGGGTACTACTTCAGACTCAAGTGCATGGAAATCATTTTAAAAGTAACTCAGCCCATGTCTTATTAACCCCTCTTGATTCACTGTCACCAAAGTAAAGAAGGTTGGTGGCAAGTGCCAACTTGAAGCTATAGATTCATGGCTCCCTAATACTTTCAGAATTTAACATCTTCACTGGACATTTAGGCCTTCCATGAACTGGCCCACCATTGTGGCTATCACTCACATTGTTAATTTGAACCTAAACCAGCTCTTAGTAAATGAAGCTCTCATGCAATTTCATGCACCTGTGTCTTGCTGAAGCAACCTTCCTCTGGCCAAAATGTCCCTCCCACTCTTTCTTAAACTGAATTACATGTCATGCCAATTCCTACTTACCATTCAAAATTCAGTTCAATGGCTAAAATGTAGAAAGCTAGAAAAAAAATCACTTCTAATAGAAAGAAAAAAACTGGGCCGGGCGTGGTGGCTCATGCCTGTAATCCCAGCACTTTGGGAGGCTAAGGTGGGCAGATCACCTGAGGTCAGGAGTTCGAGACCAGCCTGACTAATATGGTGAATCCCCATCTTTAAAAAAAATAAAAAATAAAAGAAAAAAGCTGGATAATATGCAAAATCATAACTTTTCTTAAACTTATCAGGTGAGGTCATAGGGCAATCAATTTCCCTGAAATTTAAGAAAAGACAGAGATGGGACACAAGTACTGGCTTATTGGCAGCAACAGGAGGAAGACACAAGCCTTCATACAACCAGGTAAGAATTCAGATGTTATTATCACATTTCCACAAGCAGAGTATGGGCTAGCAGGATGGTACAGAATCCCTGGGAGCTGCAAACCTCAGAGGAGTTTGCACCAGCTCACAGGCTCTTCTCCTTGGACCTTGACAGTGCAACAGTGAGGAATGCAACTGGGGACAGGGCAGGAGCCTGGAGGAAGCCATCCTCACTGTTGCATACCTTGAAGGCAAGCTCCTCTGCCTTACCTAATCACTTTTCCCCTAAGGAGCAAAAGTCTTAAGCTGCCAGGGAAAGGGTAATAATCCCTTTCATGCCTAAGATACAGGTAAAGACCCACAGAGGCTGGGGAAAGAGAAAAAGCAAAAGTCCCCTACCCCCTGGGGAAGACTGAGCCAGAGAGCGAGGTCTGCCTAAGACAGACTGAACCAAGAACTGCCTCCATCCCTGTTTAGATGACAAACATTAAGCGACAAGCAGAAGCAGTCTACTTCTGGAGGAGGGAAAAGGGCAAAGCAAGACCCTGTCTAAGGAACAGGCTCACAGGAAAATCCAACAACTGAAGACAGCAGGGCTGCTGAGAAAACCCTCTGGAAAGCAAATTCTTACGCTAAACACTAGGGAACACCAGAGCACTTGAAATCCTGTGGTCAAGAAAGGCACTGTAATGACAACAAAGCCCACACCCAGTTCAATTCCTGACAAGACTGACTGAACCTCATACATTAATGGCCTAATAGAAAAATTTCCAGACATAGATATTATTAATCTCAGTCTCTGTCCTACGTATCATCTCTGGCAACAATAAAAAATTACAAGACACACAAAAAATGCTAAAACAATCAACCACCAAGAGATACAAAAATTAATAGAACCAAACTCAAGAGATTACATTTCCCAGATGCTGAAATTATCAGAGAACTTAAAGTAAGTATAATTAATATGTCAAACGCTCTTGTGGAAAAGGTGGACAACATATATAAACAGATAAGGAATTTTAGCAGAGAGATGGAAACTGTAAGAAAGAGTCACTGAACTTAAAGATAGGTCAACAATGGCCAGGTGCAGTGGCTCATGCCTGTAATCCCAGAACTCTGGGACGGCAAGGCAGGCAGATTACTTGAGGTAAGGAGTTCGAGACCCACCTGGCCAACATGGTAAAAATCCTGTCTCTACTAAAAATACAAAAAAAAAAAAAAAAATCGGCCAGGCGTGGTGGCTCACATCTGTTATCAGAGCACTTTGGGAGGCCCAGGCAGGCAGATCACAAGGTCAGGAGATCAAGACCATCCTGGCCAACATGGTGAAACCTGTCTATACTAAAAATACAAAAATTAGCTGGGCATGGTTTTGAGTGCCTGTAATCTCAGCTACTCAGGAGGCTGAGGCAGGAGACTAGCTTGAATTGGGGAGTTGGAGGCTGCAGTGAGCTGAGATCATGCCACTGGACTCCAGCCTGGTGACAAAGCGAGACTCCATCTCAAAAAAAAAAAAAAAAAAAAAGATTTGCCGGGCATGGTGGTGCGTGCCTGTAGTCCCAGCTACTTGTAAGGCCGAGGCAGGAGAATTGTTTGAACCTGGGATGCAGGGGTTGCAGTAAGCCAAGATTGCACTGCTGTACTCCAGCTTAGGTTACAGAGCAAGACTCCATCTCAAAAAAAAAAAAAAAAGGTAAATGAAAATTATCCAACTGAAACAGAGAAAAAAAGATAGAAAAATAGAGTGAATATCCAAGAACAATGGGACAATTAAATCGTAACACATGTGTCATTAGAATCCCAGAAAGAGAAAATGGTGCAGAAGAAATATTTGAAGAGGAAAAACCTAAGAAATTTCCATAAATTATGAAAGATATCAAACTGCAGATCCAAGCAGCTAAGAGAATAGGCCAAAACACATACACGCAGTGTATTTAAACAGCTGCCCTAAGAGAAAATCTTAAAGGCAAGGGTGGAGGGAAGTGGACCAGGCGGTGAGAGAAGTACACATTTATGCATTACATGCAAAAGAAAAAAAGACAGTTACACTCGACTTCTCAAAAGAATCTTTGGGAGCCAGAGACAGTGAAGTGCATTTTTTTAAAGTACTGAAAGAAAATAAAACACCACTCATCCAGAATCTTATACATTTTGAAAATACCTCTCAAAAACAAAGACAGTGGTTGCCAGGGGTTAAAGGCAGGGAGGTATGAAAAGTGACTACTAATGGGTATAATTTTATTTAGGGTTGGAATTAGATAGTGATGATGGCTGCACAACATTTTGTGGGGTTTTCTTTTTTTTTTTTGAGACAGGGTCTTGCTCTGTCACCCAGGCTGGAGTGCAGTCGTGTGATCTTGGCTCACTGTAACCTCAACCTCCTGGGGCTCAAGTGATCCTCCCACCTCAGCCTCCCACATAGCTGGGACCACAGTGCAAACCACCATGCATGGCTCATTTTATAGGTGTGACCCACCATGCCTGGCTAAGGTTTTGAATACACTAAAAACCACTGTACACTTTTAAAGGGTGAATTTTATTATATGTGAATTATATCTCAATAAAAAACATCATGTTTTTTTAAATGGACTTTTTCAGACAAAAAGAAAAGCATTCATTACCAGCAGACCCACATTACGAGAAAAAGTCCTTCAGGCGGAAGGACTATAATACCAGACAGAAAACTGGATCTGTACAAATAAGTGAAGATCCATGGAAATGGCTAAAATGAAGATACATGTACAAAGACTTTTGCTATTTTTTACCACTCTAAAATATAATTAACCATCCACAATAAAATAATAGCAATATATTCTAAGTTTATAGCATATGTAAAAATAAAATGCATAATAGTAGCCCAAAAGACAGGAGGAACTTAGAGAATACTGTTGTAAGTTCTTTTCAATAGTAGTGTAGTACATAAAGACAGAACGTTATTAATTTAAGATGTATACTGTAAGCTGTAGGGCAACTACTAAAAACATTTTTTGAAGAAGTAAAAACAATAAGCCAATAATGGAGATGAAACATAATCATAAAAGATTATTCCTCAAACAGAAAGATTAGGAAAAAAGGAATAAAGAGTTGATGGAACAAATAGAAAACCAGCAAACAATGGATTTTAACCCAATCACATCAATAATTACATTAAATTAAATGTTTTAAACACAAATTAAAAGAATGATTGTCAGACTGAATCAAAAAGGAAGGCTCAACTATCTGTAGTATAAAAATTCAGTTCAAGGCCGGGTGCAGTCATTCATGCCTGTAATCCTAGCACTTGTGGGGCCAAGGCGGGTGGATCACCTGAGGTCAGGAGTTCAAGACCAGCCTGGCCAACATTGTGAAACCCTGTCTCTACTAAAAATACAAATATTAGCTGGGCATGATGGCACACACCTGTAATCCCAGCTATCTGGGAGGCCAAGGCAGGAGAATCACTTGAACCCAGGAGGTGGAGGTTGCAGTGAGCCAAGACCCCACCATTGCACTCCAGCCTGGGCAACAAGAGTGAAACTCCATCTCAAAAAAACAAAAAACAAAAAACAAAAACAGAATGTATATTAAGCCAATACACATTAAGTTCCTAGACAGAGTAACTGACTTATACTAAGTGCTTAATATGTGCTATTATAATTGGTACATGTGGCTGGGCGTGGTGGCTCACGCCTGTAATCCCAGCCCTTTGGGAGGTCGAGGCAGGTGGATCACTAGTACAGGAGTTTGAGACCAGCCTGGCCAACATGGTGAAACCCCATCTCTACTAAAAATACAAAAATTAGCCAGGCATGGTGGTGGGCGCCTGTAGTCCCAGCTGCTCGGGAGGCTGAGGCAGGAGAATCACTTGAACTCAGGAGGAGGAGGTTGCAGTGAGCTGAGATTGTGTCACTGCACTCCAGCCGGGGCGACAGGGCAAGACTCCATCTCAAAAAAAAATAATAAATAATAATAATAATTGAAGATGTTTTATAAATTAACCTTGTCTTGAACCAAATCATTTGTTCAAGATTGAAAGGGGATTTTCTTTTTAATTTATATTTTATTTCAATAGGTTTTTGGGGAACAGGTGGTGTCTGGTTACATAAATAAATTCTTTAATGGTGATTTATGAGATTTTGATGCACCCATCACTGATAGACAGGGGATTTTCTGAGGGTGAAGCAAACTCTCTTGACTACTGAAATTGTATCCAAAAAGTTACAAAAAAAAAAAAGAAACACACAAAAAACCAATGACTAAATTCTTGGGCTTATAGGATAGCACATAAGAAAAGAAACAGCTTGCTGAAACAGTAAAACTCCCTCCGCCTATAAGATAACCAAACTGGCTGAATTGGTTGGAAGCTATATGTAACTGACTACAGTATATGCAGAACAAGCTTGCTTATTATCACAGCCTGAATTTCCACCATGTTTCATACTAACTCCCCCTGAATTTACATGAGACCTATATGGAGGCAGGAAGAGATAACTACACATACCTGAAGACTTTCCAGACCTCCCCTTTCCTTCCACCAATCACCTACCAATCCCAGAATCCATTTCCTAAACCTTTTTTTAAATAAAAGTACTGCCTTAAAGCAAGCTAGGGAAACAGATCTGGACTCTTGTATTCTTGCTAGTCAACTTGCAATAAAAAACTTTCCTCTGTCACCCGGGCTGGAGTGCAGTGGTGCAATCTCCTCTGTCACCCGGGCTGGAGTGCAATGGTGCAATCTCGGCTCACTGCAACCTCCACCCCTTCAGGCTCAAGCTAGCCTCCCACCTCAACCTGCCAAGTAGCTGGGACCAGGTACTCAGCATCATGGTATTGGCTTTTAGCACATTAGGTAGCAAGCCCCTTTTACTCGGTAACACTATTTCCAGTTCCCAAAATGAGATGACAGCTGAATAAACAATTCCCAGTTTTAACAAGCAAACTGCACTAAGAATTCAGGTGCTTTAGCAGTGTCAGACTAAATAATCTAAAAATAAAATATGATGTTGGTATGCCTGATTTGTTTTCAATCTCCTGATAATGTTTTAAAATTAACAGTTCAAATTATATCTTACGGTAAAAGGGTTTTTGTTTTGTTTAGTGATGGGGTCTCACTCTGTCACTCAGGCTGGAGTTCAGTGATCTCGGCTCACTGCAACCTCCACCTCTCGGGCTCAAACTGTCTTCCCACCTTAGCCTCCCAAGTAGCTGGGACCATGCCCAGCTAATTTTCTGTATTCTTGGTAAACATGGGTTTTTGCTATGTTGCCCAAATTGGTCTAGAACTCCTGAGCTCAAGCAATCCACCTGCTTTGGCCTCCCAAAGTGCTGGATTATAGGTGTAAGCCACCATGCCTGGCCTGAGCCACTGCACCCAGCCACAATGAAAGTTTTACGAGGGAAATGTTAAACATAGAGCTATGATATGACCTAGCAATTCAACTCCTAGGCCTCTAAACAAGAGAGATGAAAATATAATCCATGCAAAAACTTGTACCTGAATGTTCATAGCAGCATTATTCATAATAACCAAAAAGTGGAAACAATCCAAGTGTCTATCAATTGATGAATTAATTAACAAAATATGGTCTATCCATACAAAAAAGGAATAAAGTGCTGATCCATGACAAACATGGATGAATCTTGAAAACATTATGCTAAGTCAAAGACGCCAGTCACAAAAGATCACATATTCTATGATTCCATTTTTATGAAATGTCCAAAATAGGCAAGTCCATAGAGATGCAAAGTAGATTGGTGTTTGCCAGGGGCTGGGCATAGTGGAGAATGAAGAGTGATTGCTAATGGATATGGAGTTTCCTTGTAGAGTGACAAAAATATTCTGAAATTAGACAGAAGTAATGATTGCATACTCTGAATATACTAAAACATTCCTGAACTGCACATTTTAAAAAGATAAATTTTATGGTGAATTATCCCTCAATGAGCTATTACTTTATTTTTTTTTGAGACAAAATCTTGCTCTGTCATCCAGGTTAGAGTGCAGTGGGGTATGATCATAGCTAACTGCAGCCTCTATCTCATGGAATCAAGCAATCCTCTCACCTCAGCTTTCTGACTAGCGGGGACTACAGGTGAACACCACCATGCCCAGCTAGTTTTTGTATTATTTGTAGAGATGGGGTTTCGCCATGTTGCCCAGGCTGGTCTCAAACTCCTGGGCTCAAGCAGTCTTCCTGTCTTGGGCTTCCAAAGTGCTGGGATCACAGATGTGAGCCAATGTCCCGGGCCAAAGCTATCATTTTAAAATAAATAAACAGAACTACGAGGGAAGAAAAAAAAACGTCCTTTGGATTGTTTCCCTGTACCTTTCCAAATATATATTGTGAATGCTGATAATGATACCTTCTCTGTCTTGATTTGAGGAAAATAGATGAAGTATGGCTGCCTCTGGCTTGTTACTTGACATCGCTGCCACTCATAGAATCCATCTGCTAAAACGACACAGCGTCTTCCCTTTCCCAGAGGCACCTGAGGAAAAATGTGAGCAAGATATGGTCTTAGTGATACAATCATGTTTCACAGGCTGCCATTACTTGGAACTTGAGTTAAAATCTGAGGTCTGGGCCAAGTGTTATGGCTCACGCCTGTAATCCCAGCACTTTGGGAGGCCAAAGTGGCAGGATCACTTGAGGTCAGGAGTTCGAGGCCAGCCTGGCCAACAAGGTGAAACCCCATATCTACTAAATATACAAAAATTAGCTGGGCATAGTGGTGTACACCTGTAGTCCCAGCTACTTGAGAGGCTGAAGAACAAGAATTACTTGAACTTGGCAGGCAGAGGTTGCAGTGAGCCAAGATCATGCCATTGCACTGCAGCCTGGGTCAAAGAATGAGACTCCATCTTAAAATAAATAAATCACAAACAAACAAATAAATAAAATCTAAAGTCTTCCAATATGTGATCTTAAAAGTTAATTTCTCTGTACATCTCTTTTCTTATATGTAAAAAAAGTCACAACTCACACAGATGTTGAAAAGATTAAATAATGTACATAAAAGCAACCACCTCTTTTCTAACAAATAGGTACTTGTGATAGATGGTCTTCAAATGTGGCTCCCCAGTGAAGCATGCTTCCCAGTATTCACACCCCATGTAGACCCCTCCCATACTGAATTTGGGCTGGTTCTGTGTAACCAAAAGAACACAACAAAAGTAGGCTGGACGTGGTGGCTCACACCTGTAATCCCAGCACTTTGGGAGGCCCAGGAAGGAGGATCACTTGAACCCTTGAGTTTGAGACCAGCCTGGGCAACATAGCCAGACCTTGTGTCTATTTAAAAAAAAAAAAAAAAAAAAAAGATAACAATTAAAAAATGCAGTATAAATAATGCTGTATGACTGCCAAGATTAAGTGATGCTATAAACCTTGTATCTTCTATCCTGCTGTTGGATCATGCACTCTAGGGAAAATGAGTCACCATGACAGAAGCCTGGCTATCCTGACACCCTCCAGCTAGGCAAGTGGAAAGCCTTCTATAGTTGTTCTAGTCATCCCAGCTGAAGTGTCAGATGTGGGTGAAGAAGTCATCTTGGACATCCAGCCTCAGCTGCCACGTAATTACAACATGAGAACCTCTAAGTGAAAACTGCCTAGATGAGCCCAGTCAACTCAGAGAATATGAGAGATAATGTTTATCATTTTGTTTCACACTACTAAGTTAAGTGTAGTTTGTTATGTAGTAACAAAATAGCATTCCATATTAACAACTGGGAACATTCTTTTTTATCTTATTTATTTATTTTTGGTTGTCCTCTGTAGGCCAGGATGGAAACACCCCTTGGAACCTTATTTTATTTCTCAGGTATACAAGGCATTAACAGCTACCAGACACCTACCTTAAATGACCGTTTCTCCATTATGGTATCACTACGACAGTTGGTAGTATTGAACTGCAGCTTGGAAGGATCACCTTCTTTGAACCAAGAAGGGATCAAGCCCCAGCGCATGGGAGCAATGATACGCTCAGAGGAGTCTGCATCCTGCCATAGAAAGAAGATCTAGTGAGGAGATCAAAATGAAATTCTAACCTAATTTAACATATGTATTTATTACATTATTTAGTCGTATTGAAATATAAAAAATTCAAGATTATTTTTAAAAAGGGAATCTACTTGAAAACAATTTTTAAATTTTTTTTGAGATAAGGTCTGGCTCTGTCATCCAGGTTGGAGTACAGTGGTGCAATCTTGGCTCACTGCAACCTCCACCTCCTGGGCTTAAGACATCATTCCACCTCAGCCTCCCAAGTAGCTGGGACTACAGACACATGCCACCCCACCCAGCTAATTTTTGTATTTTTTACAGAGACGGGGTTTCACTATGTCGCCCAGGCTGGTCTTGAACTCCTGGGCTCAAGTGATTTGCCCACCTCAGCCTCCCAAAGTGTTGGGATTATGGGTGTGAGCCACCACACCCAGCCAAAAACAATTTAATGATTTATCATGATGTAGGTAACTTTAGTTCTTTAGTAATCATATCTACTAGAATGTAAGACATTCTGCTTGATAAGGTAGAGGGATGCAAAGAAGACAGGCTTTGCTCTGTTGCCCAGGCTGGGGTGCGGTGGCACAATCATAGCTCACTGCAACCTTGAACTCCTGGGCTCACATGATCGTACTGCTTCAGTCTCCCAAGTAGCTGGGACTACAGGTACACACCACCATGCCCAGCTAATTTGTTAATTTTCTGTAGAGATGAGGTCTTACTGTTTTGCTCAGGCTGGTCTTGAACTCTTATACTGAAGTGATTTTCCTGCCTCAGTCTCTCAAAGCACTGGAGGACACTATTTTTAGGAAAACCTATATACAAGGTTGGCCCTCGATTAACATCTCAGAACTAGATTTTGAGAGTGTTCCTACCTTTCCCCAACTCATAAGGGTGGATTATTTTGCCTAGTCTGTGTAAACAATAAAGTTTATGCCAAATACCTGTTTTCCTTCTGGGAGTCTGAAGTTTTGGTACCTGCTAGTCAGAGTGCCTACCTAATCAGCCTCCAATAAAGATCTTGGACCCTGAGTCTCTAATGGGTTTCTCTGGGCATAAACATTGTACATACTAGCTTGGGCAACATGGCAAACTCCTGTTTCTTAAAAAAAAAAAAAAAACAAACCCAAAAAATTATCCAGGTGTGATGGCATGCACCTGTAGCTCCAGCTACTTGGAAGGCAGAGGTAGGAGGACCACTCGAGCCTAGGAAGTCCAGGCTGCTAGTGAGCTGTGATTGAGCCACTGCACTCCAGCCTGGATGACAGAGCAAGACCTTGTCTCAAAAACAAAACAAACAAAACAAACAAAAACACTGTAGATACATTACTACATTTTTTCATTGCTGAAGAAAGTAGCATGCTTAGAGTATCTTCCCACAAGGAGAACATAAGGAAACCTGTGCATGATTTTTTCCAGATTTCTACTAGTTCCTTTGCTGATTCTGTTGTGTCCTTTCACTAATAAACCTTAGACACAATATGCCTTATATGTTTCGCCCCTAATGAATCTCTAAATATGGTGGCAGTCTTGGGGACTCCCAATGCATGGTTGTCAAACTTTTTTGAATAAGGGGCCCCTTGATAATTTAATGAAATCTACAGATTAAGAAGCACATATACATTATTATGCATGGCATGGCATAGTACACTCTGGGTTGGATGACACAGGTGAGCAGAGAGTGCATTTTGGGGTGTTACTACAATGGTTCAGGGGTCTGGTAATGGCAGTGAGAATAACAGTGACATCTAAAAGATTTTTAAAAAATGAAATTGTAGTACAAATGGATTTGGATGAAACAAAGCAGGTATGATTAAGTTTTCAAACCTAGAAGAGTGAAATAATGATGGTACTACTGAACAGAGAAGAAAAAAAGCTTATGAAAGGTTTCATCAGTTGATGAAGGGTTTTAAGAAGATCATGTGTTGAACTTCTGATACTAGTGAGAAGTCTCTGGCAGTTTTCAAAAAATGGTTGCAAAATCTGACTCTCACTGAGAGTTGGGAATCTATGGTCATTCCCTCTTGAATCTGGACGGGCTTGTAACTCACTTCCCCTTTAATCTGGATGGGCTTGTAACCAACAGAATGTGGCACAAGTGATACTATATGATTTATATCACAGTTCTGAAAGCTGGGATTAAGGTGCCAGTATATTTGGTGTCTGGTGAGGGTCCACTTTCTGGTTCACAGATGGTCCCTTCTCGCTTTGTCATCACATGGTAGATGGAACGAGCTAGCTCTCTGTGGTGTCTTTTATAAGGGCACGAATCCCAATCATGAAGGCTCTGACTTCCCAAAGGCCCTACCTCCTAATACCATCGTCCTGGGGGTTAGGATTAACATATGCATTTTTCAAGGACACAGACACTGAAACCATAGCAGCTGTGATCTAATAAAACTTTATTTACATAAACAGGCAATAGGCCAGATTTGGTCTGAGGACCGTAGTTTGCCAATCTCTGTTATAGAGGAAAGAGCAAGGTCTTTGCAAGGAGATCCTGATTCAAAAAGCCTTTCTCTGAGCCAGGCATGGTAGCTCACACCTGTAATCCCAGGACTTTGGGAGGCTGAGGCAAGTGGATCACTTGAGGTCAGGAGTTCAAGACCAGCCTGGCCAACATGACGAAACCCCATCTTTACTAAAAATACAAAAATTAGCTGGGTATGGTGGCGTGTACCTGTAATCCCAGTTACTTGGGAGGCTAAGGCACAACAAGAATCACTTGAGCCTGGGAGATGCAGGTTGCAGTGAACTTAGAATGCGCCCCTGCACTCTAGCCTAAGTAACAGAAAAAAAAAAAATCCTTTTCTGCTACTTAGCAGGTTGGACTAGTCTCAATTTCTTGGGCCCTCAACTTTCCTTATCCAAAAAACAGAATGAACAATACTTACCTTGTAGTACAATTTTCAAGAATGAAAGATAATATAGTTAAAATGTGTGGCATGGAGTAGGAACTCAAATTGTAGTATAATATTTTTCTAAGATAAGGATTAAAAACAAATCATAAAATTATCTGTAAAAAGATGATTATTAATGCCATGAAGATAAAGTTTCTTAGAGGGTATATCATGCACAGACCTTAACCTGGGGATACAAAAAATTTTGTTAAAAGAAGAAATGAAATAAAATAAAATGGAAAAATAAATAAATAAATAAAAAATAGAAGTAGAAATGAGGGTAAAGGCAGAGTTCTAAGTAAAAGTACTACTAAGATAAAAGTAGAATGAAGAAAGTCAGGAGAGGATGGAATCTGGAGAAAAGAATCACCAGTACTGGAAGGTTCAGGAGAAGGGCTTCCTTTTGTTTAAAAGCTAATCCCTCTACTATGTTCCTGATAAAATCCAGTTCTGCTTCTTCCAGAATCCTGCCTGCTGTATACATTAATTATCTTTATTTTGAGATCAAGTCTTGCTCTGTTGCCCAGGCTGGAATGCAGTGGCAAGATCTCGGGCTCAATGCAACCTCTGTCTCTTCGGTTCAAGCGATTCTCCTGCCTCAGCCTCCCAAGTAGCTGGGATTACAGGCATGCGCCACTATGCCTGGTTAATTTTGTATTTTTAGTAGAGACAGGGTTTCACCATGTTGGTCAGGATGGTCTCGAACTCCTAATCTCAAGTGATCCACCTGCCTCCGCCTCCGCCTCCCAAAGTGCTGGGATTACAGGTATGACTCAAAAGTTTTGAGACCAGCTTGAGCCACATAGTGAGAACTTCCCCCTTAAACCTCAAAATGGCAAAGCCTGTGATCCCAGCTGCTGGGGAGACTGAGGCAACAGGACTGATAGAGCCCAGGAGGTCAAGGTTACAGTCAGCCATGATTGGCCCACTGCACTCCATCCAGCCTGGGCAACCCAGCAAGATCCTGTGTAAAAAAAAAAAAAAAAAAAAAAAAAAGTCTTCTAAGCAGAAGGACCCCCAGCTCAATGCATAAATAATAAGAGACAACATTACACAATGGTCAACTAAATGATCTCTCATCAGAAACTTGCAAGACAATACTGAAAAATCTGTGGTTCTCACTACAAGACAACTTGGACACACCCCTCCCTATCATCCGGGGACTTCTGGCAATTAGCTGAAGATACCTTCTGTTGTTCTTATCTGGGGGATGCTACTGACATCTAGCTGGTAAAGGATGTTGCTAAATGCTCTACAATGCCCAGAATAGCTTCCTATAACAAAAAATTATCCTGGCCAAAACTGTCAATGGTGTCAAGGTTGAGAACTCTGTTCTCACAAATTCCACTGATCATCTTTGAGAGTATGCACTTGACCACTGTAAACCAAACCCAAATGTGAGAATGATCATAGAAAGTAGTTGAGAAGCCAAAACACTAAAAACATTGCTCAATATTAGTCATCTTTCCTCTACCCTTTTGGACTTCTGAACAGAACAGCTGGTAGCACTGAAGTGGGTAAATGAAAGAGGAAATAATTTGCAAATCTGTGGTTTCAAATGAAAATGCTGCAATCTATATACATATGCAGGCCGTTGATGATTTGAATGAACTACCAAAATGGTTTTAATTTTCCTTTATAAGTTTGAGAAAATGAGATACCAAATATTATCAAAATTAAGAAACCCTAGCAATCTTAACAAAACTTGTTAGAGATGCGGAATCAAATACGACTCAGCAAATTCATACCACTGACCCAAATGAGGGCTATATTTGCTAGGGTCTCCACCTTCCCCATTCCTGGTTCCTGCGTGCCTCCACTGGAGTGGGGATGGTGGTCTGGATCTCAGTTCTAGCTCTGTCCCTCACTGATTAGGTAACCTAGGACAAGTTATAATCTTTCTATATTTCTATCTTTACATCTGTTAAACAAATTTTTCTTCCAGCTAACTTTCTATAATTCTAAGGAGGTCATATAAATGATTAAGGCTCATTTTTTGTTTGTTTGTTAAAAATAGGGTCTCATTTGCTCAGGCTGGTGTCTTGAAATCCTGGTCTCAAGCAATCCTCCTGCCTCGGCTTCCCCAAAGTGCTAGGATTACACGCCTAAGCCACCAGGTCTGGCTAGGCTCATACACTTAATCCTGCTCTCTATTCTCACTCTAAATTATGCCTTCCTTTGAAGTATGTTTTATGCTCTCTTTTCCCCTTCAAGGTTCACCAGGATATTTTGATTCCTCTCTCATTTAAAATAAAAGTTTTAATAGGGAAGTATGTATCCTCTAAAAAGGACTCAAAAATAAATATTTCATATAAATGGCTTCATTCAACCAAAAAGATTAATGTTATTTGCTTTTTTTTTTTTTTTTGAGACTGAGTCTCGCTCTGTCGCCCAGGCTGAAGTGCAGTGGCACATTCTCGATTCACTGCAATCTCCGCCTCCCAGGTTCAAGTGATTCTCCTGCCTCAGCCTCCTGAGTAGCTGGGACTACAGGAGCATGCCACCATGCCTGGGTAAATTTTTCTGTCTTTTTCAATAGAGACAAGGTTTCACCTTGTTGGCCAGGCTGATCTTGAACTCCTGACTTCAAGTGATCCACATGCCTAGAACTCCCAAAATGGTGGGGTTACAGGCATAAGCCACTGCACCCAGCTGTTATATGTTATCTTTATTTATTTATTAGACAGAGTCTCACTCTGTTGACCAGGCCAGAGTGCAGTGGTGTGATCTTGGCTCACCACAACCTTTGCCTCCCAGGTTCAAGTCATTCTTCTGCCTCAGCCTCCCAAGTAGCTGGGATTACAGGCACCCACCACTACAGCTGGCTAATTTTTGTATTTTTAGTAAAGACAGGGTTTCACCATGTTGGCCAGGCTGGTCTCGAACTCCTGACCTCAGGTGATCCACCTGCCTCAGCCTCCCAAAGTGTTGGGATTACAGGCACAAGCCACCGGGCCCAGCCTGTTACCTTTATTTCAAAATAATGTGACATAATGCAGAAATTAGTCCTTTTTGACTATCATATTATCACAAAAAGTTCTAAAGAGTATGTACCATGTCGGGTACCGTGGTTCACACCTGTAATCCCAACACTTTGGGAGGCTGAGGTGGGCAGATCACCTGAGGTCAGGGGTTTGAGATCACCCTGACCAACATGGAGAAACCCCGTGTCTACTAAAAACATAAAAAAATTAGCAGGGCATGGTGGCACATGCCTGTAATCCCAGGTACTCAGAAGGCTGGGGCAGGAGAATTGCTTGAACCCGGGAGGTGGAGGTTGTGATGAGCTGAGATAGCACCATTACACTCCAGCCTAAGCAGCACAAGCCAAACTCTGTCTCAAAACAAACAAACAAAAAAATAATAAGTACCAGAGGTATAATCAACTTTATAAAGTGACTTCAGTATTATGGATCAAATAGAGTAAAAATTCAGGAAGGAAACAATCGTGATTTTTAAAAACATGTCAAGGTCATTTAAAATATTTAAGACATCGAGAAACTATTACTTTCTAGAACGGAACATTTATTACACACACATACACACACACACACACACACACTTTCAGGAGATAAGGTGAAGAACTAAGATATGAATGTAATTGACTGGTAATTCCAACCCTACAGCGTTAAATACTATAAACACAATGACTGCAATTAAACCTCAGACAACCAAACTAAATACATGTTTCTAGCTTTAGTAAAAGACAAACATAAATAAGACTGAAAACACAAGCAGAAAGGATAAAACTTTTCAATGTTCAAATAACATCAGAAGTGTTTTAAATTAACTGATCTTAAGCCTGTCCTAGACCTACAAAGTCTGATTCTGCTGGCTTGGTAAGGGGTATAAAGATATTAATTTTTAAAATTTATTTTTTAGGTAGGGTCTTGATCTGTCAGCCAGGTGGGAGTGCAACTGATACAACCATGGCTCATTGAAGCTGCGACTTCCCCAGCTCAGGTGATCTTCCCGCCTCATTTTTAAATTTTTTGCAGAGATGGGGGTCTCACTATGTTGCCCAGACTGGTCTCAAACTTCTTGGCTCAAGTGATCCTCCCACCTCAGCTTCCCAAAGTGCTGGGGTTACAGGCATGAGCCTGGGCAACTGGCCTTAATTTTGTTTTTTTTTATTTTTATTTATTTATTTATTTTTTTTTTTTTGAGACAGAGTTTCGCTCTTGTTACCCAGGCTGGAGTGCAATGGCGCGATCTCGGCTCACCGCAACCTCCGCCTCCTGGGCTCAGGCAATTCTCCTGCCTCAACCTCCTGAGTAGCTAGGATTACAGGCACGTGCCACCATGCCCAGCTAATTTTTTGTATTTTTAGTAGAGACGAGGTTTCACCATGTTGACCAGGATGGTCTCGATCTCTTGACCTCGTGATCCACCCTCCTCGGCCTCCCAAAGTGCTGGGATTACAGGCTTGAGCCACCGCGCCCGGCCAATTTTGTTTTTTTTAAAGATACTCCAATGACCCTGATGATCAGTGAGGTATGAAAGCTGCTATTTTAAAACACAAAGCTCATATAAATTTGGCATATATTAAGGCTAGTATGCCTTGTATAGAAAAGGCATTTAAATTAAACCTGAAAAACGCTGAAAAATACATCTTTATCAGTGTTAGAATACACTGATAAAACTTCTTGCATGAGGCCAAGAGGGGTTCTGAACTGGAAGTCAGAATGTATCAGTAAAGGCTGGTTTTTAATGTCATCCCAAGAGGCTGAGCACAGACCAAACCAAATAGGAGACGACGACCATCTGGGCGAGGGGCTAGCATGGTGCAAAGCTGGTTACCTTCTCAAAGTGCAGTCGAGACAGAAGCACTGGGCTGTTGGATTGAGGACTCTTGTTGTAAGAGGGGCAGTACTTATCAGGGTCCCTCCATTCTGGGAGCCGCTGCTGGCCCCGCCGATCCTGGTAGGCACAAGCTCTCGTGAGAACCTCTATAGGTAAGTGACAGGATGTTCGTCCACACATTCTTCAACACCGCCCCTCGAAACCTTTAATCACAAAACGTAAGGAAAAGGATTACGTGTCTCAAATACGAGGTATTATTCCTTGAACGGCCTTCTCTTTCCGTTCCCACCGCGCCCTGCCACTCCGTGACCACCGTCTAAAGTCTTCCCCGAGACGTCCCACAAGGACAAGGATGTGCCTGTTTGCTTCGCTCCCTGGGCCCACTGCCCAGCTCCGCGCAGGGCACGGAGGCAAGTCCCGGGAGGAGCTCCGCAACAGCCTGCCTGAGCGCGGGAAGAGCCGCCGCGGAGGGGGCTTCACGGTTCAGCCAAGCAGGGAAAGCGCAGCTAGCAGGGGTCGCCTCCTCCGGCGACTCGGTGCCCCTAACTCCCTGTCCTTCCCCCCCATCCCCACTGGGGTCAGCGCCCCACGCCTGTCAGCACCCGCTCACCTCGAGGGCGGCCACTGGACAGCCCCGGAGCGGCCCGCAGAATCCCCGCCTCCCGCCCGCACGTCCGCAGCGCCGCCAGGCCCGAACTGCGAACCTGAGGGCCGCGGACCTGGCTCCGGACTCTGCGGGGGCCGGTTCTCGGGGAGCAGGTGGCTCCTAGTTGCTGGCCGCTACCCTCGCCCCTCCCCGCGTCGCCTCCCCTCCGCTCCGGCCCTCAGACTCTGCCGCCCCGCGTCATCTCACTTCGGCCCACGCCGCCCTCTCAGCGTCCCCTCGTGTCCGCTCGTGCCTCCGCACCCTTCGGTCCTCCGGCGTCGCTACACCTCCTCTCCGCTCCCCAACACCCCTGCCGCTGCCGTCGCTTCCTCTCCACTCACCTCCCCTCAGCCTCCCCAGCCGCCTCCCTCCGCTCCGCTCCCCTCCCCTTAGGCCGCCCCTCACGTCACGCCGCCTCTGCCCGCGTTCCCGACGCTAGGCCCCGCCCCCAGGCGCCCGTGGTTCGCGAGGCGCTCTAGAGTCCCGGATGCTGCGTCTTCTTTCCTCGGGTTTGGGATGAATCCTCTCCCATTTCCCCGGGAGATGGTGACTGCCTTGGAGGACGCTTCGATCTCAAGCTACTCTGGGCTCCACTTTCCTCCATATTGGCCGGTTCCCTGGCGGGGTTAACCTTCCTCCCCGCCCCCAGCGCGAGCCGCAGGGCCGGCGGGGAAGTTTCCCGCCGCGCTGACTGCAGGGCACTGGGTCATCAAAGGCAGGAAACCAGGAAACTCCACTCCTAACTTCACAGTCCTTCCAGCTGCCTCGCAGTGCGAGGCAAAAATGCAGGAACACTGGAGAAGAAATGGAAGCCAGGAGAACTTCCAAGGAATCGCGCACATTGCCCTCAAAACGGTGGTGGGCACAATGGGACTGTCCTGCCCCTACACTCTCCACCCCACCAGCTGAATCTCTAAGGGTGAGGCCCAGATTTTTAAAACAGTCTTGATGGGTCTACTTTGGCCTCAAAGTTGGTAAAATAACCTGGCTTGAGTTTATAAGCCTTCTCCCCTTGGGATGGAAACCCGATTTCTTCTTGGCAATCCACAGGGAATGCTCTGGAGAGCTGTTCTTCGCCTATGCTGATTCGCTGAACTCAACAGGGAGCAGAAACCCCAGGGCACACTCTACGTGGGACCTGAGGCTGGGTAATGGCCTGACGCTGGACCTGAGCCCTTTGGAGCCTCTATATCAACTATCAAAGGAGGGTGCATTGCGAAGAAGTGCGAATGGGAGGGAGTGTGAACTCAGTGCCTGTTAGCTGATTCACTCAACCAACTTGCATCGCTCCTACCCCGGGGCTTGGTGCATGGACAGCGATGACGGGGAGAGGGTCCGGCCTCACAGGACTATAACAGCCAAAGGGTTGTGGGTACAAGGGGGACAGGGCAGGTGTTCCGTGGGAGGCCTTGAAGGGGAAGGTGGAGTCCTGAAGCATGAGTCCGAAGTAGTAGCAATCATTCAATAAATACATGCTGATTTATTACAGAGATAAGATAGTTTCTTGAGGGATAAATTCAAGAGGAGTTGAGAATGTTTTATTCATTTACAACGTCCCTTTCCTGGAAGGGAGGATAGCAAGATTTAGGACAAGCTAAAATCATCCCTTATTAAACAAACAAAAAAAATCACTCCCAAATAGTCCCAGGTAGGGGGACAGAATAAAAAAAAATATATCTGCAATGATTCCTAATTGTTTTTGCATACAGAACCTTGGGAAGGGGTTTCTGATAGTTTCATGAGGAAGGCACAACTATCCAGGTAGTGTTGGGGAAGGGTATAAGGTCCTATGCAAGCTGGTCCCTTAGCCCACAGATGCCAAGATGATGTCTACTGGCAGCTCCTCCAAACTTCTGGCTGTCACCTGCATTGTAACTGTGTCCAAAAGCAGCAGCCGGGCACGCACCAGGATGTCATGACCACCCCGGAACACACCTAGAAGGGAAGAGAGAGTACAGGTTTATAAGGCAGAAGGGACTGTACAGGTCAGGCTGAGGATGGCATTTGCAGCAACTCATCAAGGCAGCTCTGGTGTGGTGAAATGGGCAGGAGAGCTGGGCTGAAATCCCCGAGTGAGGGATTTCACTGTACAAGTCACTGTCTCTCTGGGCTTTAGCATCCTCAACTACAAGTGGAGGGCACGATAATAGCATATTTCAGGCATCTGCCAAGTTCAAAAGAATTGATGGACATGTAAGGCTTGTATCTGATGTCACAGAGGCTCTTGCACCTTGGCTAAATCTTAAGAGCACAAATGAAGGGAACAACAGCCCCACCATGAGAAAACCGCAGGACAGGTGTCTGCAAGACCCAGGGGACTGGGTTGCTTCAATGTGGCCACAAACTGTCAGCTGTAAGCAGGGCACTGAAGCAGAGCCTCCTTTCTTTTTTTTTTCTTGAGACGGAGTCTCACTCTGTTGGCCAGGCTGGAGTGCAGTGGCTCGATCCTGGCTCACCGCAACCTTCGCCTCCTGGGTTCAAGTGATTCTCCTGCCTCAGCCTCTTGAGTAGCTGGGATTACAGGCGCCCACCACCATGCCTGGCTAATTTTGTATTTTTAGTAGAGACGAGGTTTTACCATCTTAGCTAGGCTGGTCTTGAACTCCTGACCTCAGGTGATCCACCTGCCTCAGCCTCCCAAAGTGCTGGGATTACAGGAGTGAGCCACTGCGCCCAGCCCAGAGCCCCTTTCAACCCTGTTTGTAAACAGCCAAAAAAAACCCATCCCATTTCCTTTAGTTAACTGTTTTAGGTATAATTGTATTGCCCTTTAAAAAGGGGAAGGGGTCATTCTCTTAGAGAAATACATAGATACAGAAAGGTTTACATACAAAATGCTATTTCCGGAATTTGCTAGTAAATAATCTGGGAAGGAGAATAAGTGTGGATACACTCAACCAACCCTGCAGAAAATCAGTCAAAGGATATGAAAACAATGATCAGAAAAGGAAATACAAATGCCTCAACATTCGACAAGATATTTAAATGGAAAACAGAAAAACGTCACTATCATTTTCCATACAGACAGGCAAAGGTCATAAAGTGTGATAACACTGTTTTGTCCACAGTGTGGAAAGAAAAGTATACAACTCCTGTGGAAGGCAACTTGGAATTATTTATCAAGATGAGAAACACAAATCACTTTGACCTAGTGATGCCTTGGGAAATTTATCCTACAGATATTCTCGGTGCACATATGCAAAGTAAAGTGTGAGAGAGTGTGTATGTGTACACAATTATTTACTGTAACATCTGTAACAGCAAAAGATTGAAAACAAACTAAATGTTCATCAGTAGCTGCTGTTCCATAGAATATGTGGTGCATCCACACAACGGAATACTAAGCAGCTATTAATTAAAAAAAAAAAAAAAAAAGTGGGTTCTAAAGGCCGGCGCAATGGCTCATGCCTGTAATCCCAGCACTTTGGGAGGCCGAGGTGGGCGGATCACAAGGTCAGGAGTTTGAGACCAGCCTGACCAACACGGTGAAACCCTTTCTCTACTGAAAATACAAAAAAAAAAAAAGTTCTGGAGATGGACGGTGGTCATAGTTTTACAATAGTGTGAATGTACCTAATGCGCTGAACCATACACTTAAAAATGGTTAAAATGGTGAATTTTATGTTATGTATATTTTACCACAATTAAAAGAAAAACAATGAGGAAGCTCTACATATTGACAGGGAAGATCTCTAAAATACATTGTAAAGTGAATAGCAAATTGCAGGACAATATATATACCATTTGTACATAAACATTTGAGTTAAAGCAAATGTGTTTGTTAGCTTTTATAGCCATAAAATAACTGCAAGGTTATACAGGCACTGTTTGTAATAGGAACACTGGTCGTTTCTTGGAAGGGAATCTAAATGGGTGGCAGCCAAGGTAGGAAGGAAACATTTCACTGCAGATTATTTAATACTTTGCCAATTTTAAATGCTGTGAATTTTGACTCCCCATATTTACAATGGAGTCCTTAGCCCAGGATCCAGTGACATCCAGACCATAAGCTACCCAGGGTCCTCCCCCCGCTAGAAATGCCACTTACCAGCCAGGAGCAATGTGTGGGTGTTCTTGTTATCCGGCACTTTGTCTGACCTCTCACAAGGGTGCATTCCCAAGAACTTTACAATGTTACCCACAGCCTCTGTAGAGAGAAATTCCAATATTGTTAAGCCATATATCTTGTCTGCCCTTTGTTCCACCACCACCACTCCCCCATGTTCTGAAGGGCTTTGAATGAAGTGGCATTTGACATATGTGCTCCAGACATGGCCCTGGATCCTTGGTGAGAAGAGAGATAAGCACCTCAATAGTAGCAAAAGATCTTGAACAGCCAAGTAGGCCAGAGATGGCATTCCCAGGATTTTACCTTCAAGTGTCTTGATGGTAGATAAGGTGAACGTTTCTTCCTTCTCAAATTCATCCCCTACCTCATCCCAGGCTGCTTCGAAGTTCAGTTTCATGACCTTTTGAATGTGATCAGCTACGGTAACTTCTAGATCTTCCAGCTGGAGAGATGGGAGGTAGAAATAAGGCACCCATCCACACACCTCTGGGCCTCTGCTCTGAACTCATCAACACATCCCTTCCTGCAACTCTTACTGCAGGTGCTTGCTCAGCGCTGAGGACTGCTAGACTCTGGGGACGCAGAGCAACTTGACTAGATACCTATCCTTGAGGTGCCCACAGGCAAGTGGTATGCCTTCAACAGAAAACACCCTAATCCCAAGTACCAATCTACTAACTCATCCTAGAGCTGCCTGCTGTGAGATCACATCTCTTCTAAGCCTGCCTAGTGTCAGTGCTTCCAGGACCTGCATTCAGGGAACTACATAGCATTCTCAGAGGTCTGCTTCCTATGCCTGTCACTCCTAGGGGCCAATGAGCTCCTAAGGAACAGCAGCTGTTTCTAGTTCAGCAGAAACCTCCTACCCCAGCTGTGTCCTCTGGATGTGACAGATCCCAAATCTCTATCTCCACTTCAGCTGTGTCCTCCCTGAATTTGACACACAATACTCCCACTGAGCCTACATGAAGGTTCCCCATTCATTCTCCCATCAGATTTTCAGAGGCCCTACTCTTGTGGATATTTACAGTGTATACATATATGACAGATCCAGCTCACTCTCTTTTTTTTTTTTTTTTTTTTTTTTTGCTTGCATCTCTGAGTGGGTTCTAACAGACCCAGCTCTCTTAAGGAGCTCACTTGGTCTTAGAGCAGCTCCTGCCTCGGGGTCATTTCTGGCTCAAGGAAGGTCCATCCATCCTCAACTGTGACTCTAGGATGACACAATGGTGAATGTCAGTTGGATTCCACAGTAGCTGTCCCTCTAGTCAGGAGGAGCTCCAACAATCCCCAGCCATAGGCTGAACACAATGGTCTACACTGAGATGGCCCTGAGCCACTGCCCCAAGGTCAGACCCCAGAAGGATCCTGTACTTAGTTCCATTGAGCTAAGATAGGAGAATTTAGAACGGTTATTCCAGTGCATGAACAGACTGCCCAGCACAGCAAACAGGTCCAATTTATCCAGAAAGCGTTTGACAAAAGGAATCAAAATGTCTTAAATTTTGACATTAGCCCTTTGACCAAATTATTCTCCTAGGAATCTATCCTAAGGAAATAAGCTGAAATGCAGATAAAAATTGGTACCTAAAGGGATATTTAATGCAGCATTATAAATAGTAAAAACATGGAAACCCAAATGCCCAACATTAAAGGAGTGAAAGACAGGTCAATTGAGTTTTGATACAGTATATAACAGTATTTTAAACCCACTAAAAATTGTGTTTATGAAGTATTTGTAACAACACTGGAAAATACACTATAGTTTTAAAATAGCAGGAATGATTTCAATTATACCACTGCCCCCCAAAAATAACTCTAAGGATTGTGGGTAATGTTTTCCTGTTGTTCATACTTTGTTTTATATTTTGTTTTTGTATTTCCCAAGTTTTCTTTTTACACATGAACACGTATTTCCATTAGTTAAAAAAATTGTTTTAGGCCAGGTACGGTGGCTCATGCCTATAATCCCAGCACTTTAGGAGGCTAAGGTGTGTGGATCACCTGAGGTGAAGAGTTCGAGACCAACCTAGCCAACATAGTGAAACCCAGTCTAAAGTAAAAATACAAGAAATTAGGCAGGTGTGGTGGCGGGCACCTGTGATCCCAGCTACTCAGGAGGTTAAGGCAAGAGAATAACTTGAACCCAGGAGAGAGAGGTTGCAGTGAGCCAAGATCGTGCCATTGCACTCCAGCCTGGGTAACAAGAGAAAGTTCATCTCAAAAAAAAAAAAAAAAAAAAAAAAAAAAAATTTAAAGAGCTAAAAAAGCCAAAAACAGCAGGAAAAGGATTCCGGTCTGCGCAGGCTCAGCACAAAACCAAGCCTCCTAACAGCAGGCTCTTACCACATATTCATCCTCATAGCCTTCGTCATCGGTCTCCCCAGTGGTGGGATCACAGTCCTTGACAGTGAACTTCATCATGCAGCTGAATGTGCAGGCCACTATGGGGAAGAGAGGCTGGGTAGTTAGGATGTCCCCAACCTGCAGGGGATAAGCTCCTCCTGCAAGGGACGATCAGGAAGGGGTCACAGCTTGCTTTCTAGGCCCCTGCTATATTATTAGTAGTAGCAACATGCTATCCAGTCCGACA